GGATCTCGCAGTCTCCCATCAACCACCTGGAGAAGTCCTAGCTTCCAGCCCGATGTTCTTACCTTAAGCAGAGATGTGCCAAGGGGATGCCAACTCGGGAGGGGAACTCGTAGTTCAAAGTCAGCCTTGGGTTCAGACTGGCATCAGCCTGATGAGCAGCTCACTGAGTTGTGGACAATAGCCTCGCCTCTAAGCTTCCATTTTGTTCTTGGGACTGTAGAATCTCATGGGATGATTGGGGGAATTCGTGTGTGTGAAAAACTGGTCACAGTTGGTGCTTAATCATAAACGGGAATCCCTTCGCTGTCCTTTTCTATCCTGTCCAGGTAACTGTGGAACCTGGGGAGGGGAGCCTAAGGAGGGAGTTTGTGGAAAGCCTGCTTGGATACAGACGCACGGGTGTTTTTCTTCACGGGTGGAAGATCCACAGCCCGACAGTGCCTCCAGAAGAACCAGTGCGGGAACCTAGCCTCTCCTTTCCTCCCCAGGTTAGATGTGCGGAGGGTGCGCACCAGGGAGACCCAGGCCAGTGCGTGGAGGCTGAACGCGGCCTGCAGCGCCCCCGCGTGCTGGGAGAGGGAAGGCAGATGACCTTTGCTAGCTCGCTGCAAAAAGAAACCTAGGGAGGTCTTCAGCCAGTAAGGGAACAGCAGGCTCCGGGTGACATTTAGGGAAACCATAGCTTGTAGCCAGGTTGGGGAACCAGCGAGGGAGATGGAAAAGAAAATGGAAATAAGGTACTGATTAAATTTAGTGAGGGACCCTTGGGGTAGACACTAAACGGTCCCCAGTCACTGAGGCATCAGGGCTCAAGGACCTGAGGTTTTGATCCCGATAGGTAGGCAGTGGCCAGACGAGGTGCCCAGAGAGGCTGAGAGAGCGGGCAGGGCATGAAGTTGCAGCTAGGAATCTTCTCCAGGACCCACGTCCCCATGGCGACCCTGTGAGCCCACATCCTGCCTTTTCCTCTCCCCAGCTGTACGGTGGTGCCCTCAGCGTCTTCCTTGCGGGTTCCTCTGCACACTGAAGGAGACAGTGTGAGCCTGACTACTGACATTTCCAATCAAGACAGCGGAGAGTGCACCCTCGTTTGGCACCTGTCCCTCCCCATCTGCAGGGCTGCTGTCCTTGGCTCTTGTCCTTTGAGAAGACACAACAGAACCAGAGAACTCCCTGGGCCCCGCCCCAGATCTACCGGATACTGCATCTTTATTCACGGTTTTGCCCTTGCTCTCTCCAATTGCCTTCTATCTCTTTCTCAGAAGGATTCTAATCCTAAGAACTGATGTCTTTCTCCTTAGTAACTGAGCCTCCCTCTTACTCATCGACGCACAAACAAAACTTGCTGTATTGTGTTATAAAATGCCACGCCCTCCCCACACCCACCTCTCGGTCAGCTCTAACCCATCTGCTCTTCACCCAAGGGTTTTCAAGACCTTGTCCTCTTCCCATCCTCTGAGGGGCCGATCGTCAGCCACCCACAGGAGACCCAGGGAAACCAGGACTGAGAATCTGTGCTTAGGAGGGGCAGGATTCTAGCCTTTTTGATGATCCTAACTATATCGTTAAGAGTCTACTTGAACTAACAATATTTTTCTACATATAAATACATACATTTCTATTTATAAGCATACATATTCTGCTTATAAATATTATAGCAACCAACTATAGAACCATGAAAAATATTTTAAAATGGAAGAGGGCTAGGTTTGGTGACCACACTTTTAATCCTAGCACTAAAGAGGCAGAGGTAGGTAGGTTTCTGAGTTGGAAGCCAGCTTGGTCTACAGAGTGAGTTCCAGGTCAGCCAGGGCTACATACCTTGTCTAAAGCAATAACACTAACAAACAACAACAGAAACGCAAAACATTAAATACTCACCAATGGAGGAAAGCAATCCTAATCCAAACACCAAAGACGAATGTGTGTGTGTGTGTGTGTGTGTGTGTGTGTGTGTGTGTGTGCGCGCGCGCGTGTGCATGTATGTGTGTGTTGTAGGCATATGTATACGTGTGTGCAGGTGCACTTTTTTGTGCTGGTATACGTGGAGGTGAGAGGTTGATATGGAAATGTCACTGCTCAGTCACTCTCCATCTTATTTATATTGAGACAGAGTCTGTCAGCAAATCAGAAGCTCCTTGTTCTGGCTAGACTGCTAAGCATGGAGCTTCAGAGATCCCTTGTCTATCTCACCCAGCCCAGCCCTGGTCACATCACCATACTGTCTTTTCTTTTGACACAGATTTCTCCCTATACATGTAGATACTGTAAATAATCCATTCACAAACATGCATGAACACACACACCCCTACACACACATGAATGCATGCATGCACACACACACACACACACACACACACACACACATGAACACACCCACATACATGAACCCTTGCTTGTATACACACACACACACACACGTACACACCCACATACATGAACTCTTGCTTGTATACACACACACACACACACACACACACACACACACACACACACGGCATGCTGCACACTTAAGAAGTTGCACCACAGTTACAGTTTCTGCCCTCAGCGCAATGAGGTAACAGCTACTCTCTATCCCAAGGTTGTCTCATTGTGGGTAGCCACTTGTTTCAAGCTCAGAGGACAGAGGAGCTCTGGGGATCTGGTCTGGTGGCTACATCCAACAAGGGATGGAAGGAAATTCCTCAGGCTGGAAAGCAAGTTCTAATTCAAGGAAAGTAGCAATTTAAGCCTAAAAAGATCAACAGGTCCTGTAAATACATAGCACACTGTGTCTTTCTTCTAATGATAGTTGTTGGTCTTTGAAGGAAGCTCCCCCCCCCCGAGACAGGGTCTCTTTGGTCATAGGTTGGCTTTGAACTTGCTATATAGTCAAGGAGGACTTTAAACTTCTGACTGCCCTGTCTTCACCTCCGGAGTGCTGAGATTACGGTCAAGTCCGCCGAGCACAATCTATTCAGTACTGGGGGTTGAACCCAGGACTTTGTGCATGCTAGTCAAGCTCTCTACCAACTGAGCCACATCCCCAGCTTTCCATCTAGATCCCTAGACCATGGATAATACCTGCCACCTCCTCCAAAATCAGCACCCAAGATGTGTTTTAATGCCAACTTTACATGTATGTGTATGTTATTTCGTTAGTATTTCTTTTACAGTAAATAAGGATGAACATGTATACATACATGTGTATATAATTACTACCCTATGGGCTCTTTTTAAAAAAAAGATTTATTTTCATTTTATGTATATGGGTGTTTTACCTACATATGTCTGTGTACCACATGCATGCAGTACACACAGAGTCCAGAAGAAGGCGTTGGATCCCCTGGAACCGGAGTTAAAGGCAGTTGTGAGCCACCATGTGGGAGCTGGGACCTCTGGAAGAGCAGCAAGTGCTCTTAACCATTGAGGCCCCATAGGTTCTTTTTTGTGTGTGAATTGGTGATTTGTATTCTTGGGGCATGGCCTCTTTTCCTTCTGATTACCCCATTACAAAGGGGAACTGAAAAGTGTTTGAATAAACCCATGTGTGTGATCATCTGCCTGTTGCCACAGACCTAGCATAACCTCATCAGGTGAGTTCTGTTTGTGTATGGTATTAACAAAGAGCCCGGGGCCCTGTTTCCCTCATTAGCAGCAATGCAAATCTCCTGAATGCTTCTGGAGTCCAACATCCTGCAAATGAAAAGGTACTCACTCAGAATTCCAAGCATGGGAGCTGGGTCCAGTGGACTGAGATACAGGTGCTGGGCCAGTCTGTGAGCTAGAGGTACTCATGGAATGAAGGCCCACATGCGTGGATGCTGCACTCCACAAATGCTAGCACCGGCTAACCTCACGAGCACAGGTCCAGCCTTAGACCCAGCATTGCATTTCCCTTCTTGCAAATGGGTTTTGGAAATTTAGTGTGGAAACTACTCTTTGGGGTGAGGGTATGTGGATCATTTCCTAAAGGAGGCGCAATTCCTCTTGGGTCTTAAGAATTTCCTAAAAATTGAGATACAGTCTGATGTAGCCCAGGCTAGCCTTCACTGTATAGTGGAGGATGACCTTGAACTCCTGACCCTGTACCACCACATTGAGTTTACATGGTGCTGGGGATGGAACCAGGGCTTCGTGCATGCTAGGCAGGCACTCTACTAACTGAACAGAAATTATTTAAAATAGTGTTTTCTTTTCATTTACCATTTCGGGTTATTCTCACAAGGAGGAACTGTTAGTGACTTATTGTGCAGCTGTTGATGAATTAAAATGTGTGTGGGGGCGGAGGGGTCAGAAGAGGATGTCAGTCAGATTCCTTAGAACTGGAGCTGGGAATGTTTGGGAGCTCCTTTGCAGGATCAGCCTATGCTTTCACCTGCTGAGCCATCTCTCCAGCCTCCGATGATGCTCGTGGAAGCCATAACGGGTATCAGAGCCCCTGGAACTGCAGTTTCAGATAGTTGTGAACCACCTAATCTTGGGTGCTAGGCATAGAGCTTGGGTCTCCTGTAAGAGCAGTAAGTGCTTTTGATCACTGTGCGAGCCATCTCTCCAGTTCTGGGGTTTCACACTCAGGCCCGAACACTAGCACAGTAAGTGCTTTTAGCCACTGGGCCATCTCCCTAGCCTTCAATAAGTGTTTTCAGAGTTTCTACTCTGGGGGCGGGGGTGGGGGTGCTGACAAGGTCCTCATGGTTCTGGAGCTCAGAGCAGCCCTCAGATGAAAAAGGATAGTTCACACGTATCCCGTGACCTGGCACCATCTTCAAGCTAACCCCTAGGCAGCAGATAGCCAAAGACAAGGCCATGTGCTGGTGACGGAGGGAGAGAGCTCTGACCGGCGATGAGGGGCTGAAGGGGTGGGGAAGACAAGATATGGATGGCCGCAGTAACTTTCACACGCTTCAGCCTCATCTCCCCTCAGCTTCTGAGTCAAGGGCATGTCCGGGAGCCTAGCGTGTGCAGTTTGAGAGGGCATAGCTATAAAGAACAGGGGTACTCAGTGACACTCAGACACAGCAGATCCCCGTTGAGCTTTATTAATCCCCCCAACAGAGTTAGGGAGCCCACGGATCTCCATGTGGGCGGAGTCTGAAGACACCCGGCGCCACAGCGGTGCCCTCTGCCCAAGTCAGCGGCACTCCACGCCTGCATCTTCATTATGGTTGCAGTTGTGAGAACCCCAGGCGCTCTTCCGGCAGCTCCACAAATCTCTCTCTGTCCCCACGCAAGCTACATCATCCAGCCAGATGTTCCCAGAGCCTGAGACAGTGGAAGCAGGAGAGAGAAAGGAAGGGTGTTAGGTGAGAGGTCAGGATGGCTCGCCAGTTCTCAGGAGCTCCCAGCCAGGGTGAGAGGCCAGTCGAGCCCGGGGGCTCTAAGGATCTTTTTTTTTTTTTTTTTTTTTTTTTTTTTTTTTTTTTTTTTTTTTTTTTTTTTTTTTTTTTGGTTTTTTCGAGACAGGGTTTCTCTGTGTAGCTTTGCGCCTTTCCTGGAGCTCACTTGGTAGCCCAGGCTGGCCTCGAACTCACAGAGATCCACCTGCCTCCGCCTCCCGAGTGCTGGGATTAAAGGCGTGCGCCACCAACGCCCGGCACTAAGGATCTTATAGTATCTCTTACAGTACCTCCGATTCTTCTCCCACCTCAACCACATCTCGAAAGCCTCATGCAAATATTTACTGCTTAATCCACACACTGTGTGTGCACACAGCCTTCCATTGTCTCCCAAGCAGCTCAGCTCCCCCGTGTTATTCTGTATTTCTGCAGGGCCTAAGGCAGCCCTGCCTCTGCCAGCTCCCCTCCCTCCGATAGGATCGAAACCAGATAGTTTCTGAGGCCAGCTAGATCTTTCTTGAAAGGCAAGTATGAAACCAGGGAGATGGCTCTGTGTGTACAGAGCGCTTGTTGTAAACGTGGGAGAACCTACACGCGGATCTCCAGCACCCACATAAAAGGGCTGACAGCCCGGCCCCGGGTGCAGTGAGACCTTGTCTCAAAGGAAGAAGTCAGGGAGTGGCCTCTGCATGAGCGGAAGGTCTGTGCTTTGGGATGGGGTAAAGCAGAGAACACCCGAGGAGAGGAACAAGGGGAGCCGGCCTTGTGCCCTGCTGTCCAGACGGGGTCTTTTCTGAGGCGGGAGTAGGGGGTGTGTAAACTCATTCCGAGTGCCCCAGGGCAGCTTCCCCGAATTGAGAATAGTAAGTCTCTCCATGATTTTTCTTTCTTCTCATTCTCTGCTTTTGGTTTTGTTTAAGACAGAGCTCAGCTATGTAGCCCAGAGCCCCATAATGGCCTCGAACTCTCCATCACCCTGTCTCTGCCTGGTAAGAGCTGGAGGAACAGGTGCTTGCCACCATACCTAACTTCTCATGTATTCTTTAAAAAGATCTTCACAGGGCCTGGGGTGGGCTCAGTGGGTACAGTGCTGCCACTCAAGCCAGATCCATGTCAAAAACAAAACAAACAAACAAACAAAAACAGAAACAGGACATGGTGGTGTGGGCTTGTGAGAGACCCTGTCTCAAGAAAACAAGGACCGAGAAACATCTGAGGCCATCCTCTATCTTCCACATGCATGTGCACACACATGCATGCTCACCCACATGAAGACACATGCACGTGTATGTGCACACATGTGTACACACACAGAGGTGGGGGTATCTTCAAGGCTAAGACCTCTGGCAGCTACTGGTTTGGGTTTCCAGATGTGGAAATGAACATCTGCCTTTGCTATGGTTCCACCTTCTCCCTCAGCTTTCAAAAGTCACACTTGTCCCCATTCCATAAACAATTCTGGCCACATGGCATTTGGACTCCAAGTCTGGATAGACAGTGACCCATGCAGTATCCAGAGCCCTTTAAAGCCTTTGCTGTCCCTGCTGGGAATGCAACAGTGTCCTTTAGACAGGTGGCCAATCGGAAAGAGGTAAACCCAGAGCCCAGAGCTGCAGCTACTCGATGCACAGCTAAGCTGCAGGACTTGCCAGTTCCTTGAACCAATGGTTTTCTTCAGCCCCAGCCATACTACATCACTTCACCACAGGGCCACTTGGACACGTCTAGGAAAAAAAGTCCCTGGCTGCAGAGTCACTTACCACCTCCGAAACTGGTGAGACCTTTACCGCTGGAGTAACCGAGCATGCGGCAGAAGACAGTGGCGTCGTTATTATCCCAACCGTCATCGCAGATTGTCCCCCAGACACTGTTATAGAAAACCTCAGCTCGGCCTCGATTGGTGCCACCCACAATCCGGACCATTAGGAAGGATTCGCCTGCACAAGAACACATGTGTGTAAGGTGAGGTGAATGCTAGCCAGCATTGGGGTGCATTTTTCTGCTGCTCTTAGAGGTTCTACAGCTTCGGAGGAGGGTGAACCCTGTTTGCACGATCTTGCCATTGGAGCTGGCAAGAATCCCACCTTTAGCACCAACACTTTCTGGGGTACAGCTCTCCTTCATTCTGGCCTAGAGGTAACAAGTCACAGGGGCAGATGCTTCTGTGGGACTATGTCTTGCCATGTGTTGTGGAAAGGGAAAAAAAAGGTTGACAAATGGGACAGAAGGAGACCGTAGAGCAGAGATGCGGTGAATAGAAAGAGAGAGAAAAGAGAAGGAAAGAAGTGAGGGAGGGTGGAGAGAAACACAGTGGGAGAGGGAGATATGGGAGAGTGGAAGAAGGAGAAGGAGGAGAAGGAGGAAGAGGAGGAAGAGAAGAAGAAGGAAGAAGGAAGAAGAAGGAGGAGGAGGAGGAGGAGAAGAAGAAGAAGGAAGAAGGAAGAAGAAGAAGGAAGAAGAAGAAGAAGGAAGAAGAAGGAAGAAGAAGAAGGAGGAGAAGGAAAGGGGATCAGAACGAGGAGGGGGAGGGAGAAAGGATGGGGAAGAAGGGAGGGAGGGGTGCTGTCTGGAACTCCGGCCACACACAGGTTCAGGTCAGAGATATAGAAGTCCTTGGAAGATAAGCACCCCCTCTCCAAGATTTTGCAACACTGAATCGACTCTAAAAGACAAGGAAAAGCCAATAAAAACACCAATTACCTTTCTGACCCTTTTCTCCTGTTTGTCCTGGCTGGCCGGGAGATCCTGTCATGAAGAAAAGAAAAAAAAAAAACCCATACAATTTGATTCAAGATCTCCCTCACCCTTTTTTCCCCACATCAGAACATACAGAGAGGGATGAGGGGTCAGTTACCCTCCCCCAGCTCTGCCTGTGACTTGGCAACTCTGGGAACAGCTAGCTGTCTGCGTCATGAGCACCAATGGTTGGGTAAGAGGACACAGGCCTCAGATGTGGCTAAAGGCTGGGCGTTAGGTTAGGGACAGACATTTAGTGAGCAGCGAGGCTTGGGGCAGAATGGCTGTGGGGCTGCTTGAGGTGGCCCAGCGCAGGCTCCCGGGAAGGCCGTGTGCTTGTTGGGGAAACTTGGTTGTGCGTGCTAGTATGCAAATTGACAGCTCAATAAAGATGCCTCCACCAGGCTCGGTTCTGAAGACCCCTAACCTTTAAGTCCTTGTCAAAGGCAGTACCTACCTTTCATCCCAGCATCTCCCTTCAGGCCGGGCCGTCCAGGTTCTCCTTTGGGGCCTACCAGCCCAGGGTTTCCAGTGTCTCCCTTTCTGCCTGCAAGGCCTGAGAGGAGATAATTAGCCCCATAGATGGCCTACTCTGCTCCCCAGGTAAATATAAGGGCCTTGCTGATTAATAGATGAGTGACCCTTGACCATCAGATCCCCGAGTAATGGGCTGTGCAAAATGCAGTCAAGGCTTTGGTCCAGCGGAGGGCTATTCTGGTTATCTGGTCTTCCACCTTAATGCCATTGAGAATGCACAGGAAGATATGGCTGGTAGAGCCCTCAGAGGATGACGTAATTATGTGGAAGTTTCAGTCTTTCTGTGAGAATTTGCTAGAATGTTTCTAGGTCCCCGTGTCTGATTAGTAAATTAAGACTGCAATAGACTATGTAGCTCACATGGAAGAAACCTCACTCTAGGAGTCCGTCTGAGTTCTGACGTGGCGCTTGCTGTGGTGTGGGCATGGTTTGCACACACCCAACTAAGTAAGGTTCTTGTGTTGGGAGATGAAGCCTCAGGCAAGGGGTGTTAAGAGGCCATGGGCATGGCGGCAAGTCCTCCAGGCCATGTGAGGGCGCCATCTGCAGAAGAAAGCCCGGGGCCCTGCTTCTCCAGCTTCCCGTCCTGCTTGAGCTCCCACTGATAGACAATGGTTCAGATGGCTAGTGGCCTTTTAGGCATCACATGAGAAGAGCACGCTTGCATCCTTGTAGAAAGGAATCCCCACAAACACACTGTGAACAGCTTGGCGGCAGGCAGGCCACCTAGCTGCACAGACAGTGATGAATGGGACAGAGGCATGGGTACCACGGTTCTCAGAGATGAGGCTGGCCTCCTGGCTAGAGGGGCAGCGCTGAACTTTGGACTGACCGCAATTCCTCCCATGCTCTATAAAGTTTGCTAGCTGGAGATGACAGAGCGGGGAGAACAAGGCCTTTAGGATGATGTTCCCTATGTTCCCAGCTTGCTGGCTGGCTGAGTAAACCTCAATCAGCTTAAAGATTCAGTTACAGCAGTTGGGAGGCAGATCTCTTGTGGATCTGAGGCTAACCTGTTCTACATAGTAAGTTCTAGTCCAGCCAGGGCTACATAGTGAGACCCTATCTCAAGAAAAAACAAAACAAAACAAAACAAAACAAAAAAAAAAAACAAAACCAAACAAACAAGAAAACCAAATCAAAACAAATAAGCAAATAAACAAAATGAGATTCAGTTCTTATCTTTGCTCATTGGTGTGTTCGGTGACAGGCAACATGAACCTGGGTGTTGGCGGCTATACCGTGATCCTCCATTTACTTGTTTGTGTCTGCTTTGGGCATTATGGTGATGGTGATGAAGAAGAAGATGATCATGATACCCAAATGATAAGTAGCAGCAGGAGGGGAGGAGGGACTTGGGGGGCCAAGAAGGGCAAACAGACCAAGGCAGGGATGGGGGAGCCTTAACCACCAAGAGGAGAGGAGATCACCCAGTTCTTTGGTGGCAGCATGGCCTGGCATGGCTACGTGCGTTGCCCACCCTCCCCGGGCTCTGCCTCACTTCCTAACTGTTTTAGAATACCGAGTTCTGGCCATTTCCACCGGATCTTCCAGGGCAGGAATGGCGGCTTGGGTGCCAAACCTCAGAGTCTCTGCCTCAACTTTGAGGGGTAATGTCGTGGTGTTCCAAGTCAATAAGGTTTTTACTTCCACACAAGCAGGCCTCCGCAGCCATCAGCCTGAGAAATTAAAATAAAGCCAGCCCTTTACCTGGGACTCCTGATTCTCCTTTTGTGCCTTTCTGTCCTTGAATTCCTAAGATGGAAACACAGGGAAGGGGGAGAGGATAATAAAACTTAGATATTAGACACTTTTAATCTTAGACAGCCTCTACCTTTGTCTGATTAATGCAGACGGAAGGGTACACCGCTCTCCCTGATTGCTTTGAACTTCACAGTGGGGCGGAAGGGGAGACAGGCTGCAGACCGATGAAGACCAGCGTGCTTGGCTGAGGTGGCGATGTGCTGTGTGGAAGTCTGAGGCACACAGACTCCAGATGCCCTGGTCTGCCTTCTCTCCCCACCAGTGCCCTGATTTGACTGTGAAGCCAACCCTTGTCCTTACTGTTTTATCTTTCATGAGATTTGCAGACGAAAGACCGGAAATATTTTGTAAATGAACATTTTGGTTCCAAAGACTGTGGAGTGGCCACCTAGGTTTTTGGAGGTCATCACCTATTGTAGATGGGTCGACATAATTTGTGTGTTTGTGTTTGTGTTTGTGCGTATGGAGGCCAGGGGGACAACCTTTAGTGTCCCATCTTGTATTTCGAGACAGGATCTCTCACCAGGACCTAGAACACTCAAAGTATTTTAGGCTTGTCGGCCAGTGAGCCCTGGGGAGCCTTCTATTTCTACACCCACCCCACCAGCTCTATTTACAGGAGCACAACACCATGCCTGCCTAATTTTTAGTGTGGATTCTGGGGGGGTCAAAATCAGGTCCTCATGATGTGCAAGGCCAGCACCTATTAACTAGTCTTGGATTACTCACTGTGTCTTCAAGAGATGTAAAGATCCACAACAGAAAAGGAGTCTCAATGTTCAGAAAACGAAAAAATAATATAGCAACCATTGGTGATTATTCCCTTTGAGGTTGAAGTGAGAGGTCCTCTCTCTGGCTCTTCCATCTATTCTATCCACCTTTGTGTGTGTGTGTGTGTGTGTGTGTGTGTGTGTGTGTGTGTGTGTGTGTGTAGACCGAAGGACAACTTTCAGGAGTCAGTTCTCTCCACCACATGAGGCCTGGGATAAAACTCAGATTGTTTGGCTTGGCAGCCAACAAAACTACCCATAAACCATCTCACTGCCCCCCCTCCCTTCTTTACTCCCCTCCCCTCCTCTCCCTCATTCCTCTATGAACTAGCCTTTCGAAGAAGACCCCACTGTCTCCAGCACCCTTCAAGCATCCCCATGGTGGGTCATATTCTCTTCCTTTAGCACTCTACGAGCCCATACTGGTTTCTTTCAAATCAGCGGGGCTCTCCCAGGCAGTTCTGTAAGCATGCCTGGGGGCGTGCAAGCTTACTGTGGGCCATTGAGAAGGAGCAGATGATACAACTGCTATTAATAGTCACCTGTGCCTGACAGGCCCCCACCTGTGACATAAGGCAGCCTTTCCACAGACCACCCTACTGCATCACCAGAAACCATGTGGGGCCATCGCCTCCTTGCAGTGGCCTGAGGGAAGTTCCTTCCTGACCACCCCACCACCGCCCTACTTGAATTTTCAGACCTCATGCTGTGCCAGCAAGGGGAGCAGGGGAGGGGCTTGGGTGGCCTCTTGAAGGGATTCCTGAGGGAAGTGTTGGTCAGTAGCAAGTCCCTGACTGGCCCAGAACTCACTGATTCAGGCTGGCCTTTGGGTCCCTAATTCTGGCTGGGCTTTGGGCCCCTGATTCCGGCTGGTCTTTGGGCTCCAGGGATCTCCTGTCTCTGCCTTCCCCGTGTTGAGATTACAAACGGGTGTCACCAAGCCCAGAGTGTTTTCACCTGGGTTTTGGGAATCCAACTCAAGTCCTCAAGAACTTTGCCAACAGAGCTCACAGCCCAGCTCTGCCTTCCTTCCTCGTTCGATCCTCTGAGGGTCCCTGCTGTTGCCCAGCCTCCCAGAGGATGGAGTCTACCGATGACTCTCAGGGACATGAGGTGATCTATTCAAGGTTACAGAGGAGTGAACAGTGTCATCTGGCAGTTCCCCAGACTCCAGCTCCCACTGTGCCCTGAGCTGTCTTCGTCCACCAGTGAGCAAAGCTTGCCCTTTCCTGGAGTGTCACTTAGCTTGGTCTCAATGACCTCTCCAGGCTCCCCTGAATGATATCACTGTCTAACTTCAATGTGTCTCAGAGTCCCCTGCTTGTGGATTGTGTGGGGCTAGGAGATGGTTCACTGGATGAGAACAATTCCTGTGGAAGCATGAAAACCTGAGTACAAATCCCCAGCTCTCATGTAAGAGCCAGGCATGGACTGTGCATGGCTGTGCATGGCTGTGCATGGCTGTGCATGGCTGTGCATGGCTGTAACCCTGTGTTGGGAAATGGAAATAGGCAGATCAAGGTAGATGATCTGCCAGCAGACAGTTTGGCTGAAACAGCAAGCTTCTGGCTCAATCACAGACTCTGTCTCAAAAGAAAAAAAAGTCTGGGATTGATATGGGAAGTTACCTGACAAGCTCCTCTGGTGGCTTCTACACACACACACACACACACACACACACACACACACACACACACACGAGGACCAACATCTATATAAGCACTATTAACACCCATGCTCACAAGGGCACCCATATACATGAACACCCCCCCACACACACACTACACATACACACACATACACATATACACACATTAGGACCAACATCCATATAAGCAACATTTACACCCATGCTCACAAGGGCACCCATACACACACACACACACACACACACACACACACACACACACACACACAGTACTCACACAAAAGCATCTTACTAGGTCCATTCAGAGATGCTGATTAAGTGGGACTGGGGTGGCGGCCCAATGGTCCAGGGCCCCTCTTAATGTGGTACCCCTAAACAAGGGCAACTTGATTTCTCTTGGGTTACAATCTATGTTACCCCATATAACGAAGTCGGCATATCTTTGGGATCAGACATTGGGATCCACTGGGCACTAGCAGCCTATGTTTAGTGAGGGGTTTAGTCTCTCTGAGCCTCTGCATAATATGCACCAACATGTGGGCACATATGTACATGGAGTGCCCATGTGAAGGCCCACTGTTCATGTCCAGGGTTCCTCTTGATCACTCTCCTCTTAATCAAGGGAGCCTCTGGCTGAACCACGCTCACCAGCTCCGGCTAGTAGAGCTAGCCTGGCTGCCCTGGAGATTCTGCCTCTGTCTCCGGAGGGCTGGAATTACAGGTGGCCTCTATGCCAGTCTGGCTTTTACATAGATTCTGGGGATCCGAACTCAGGTCCTCATGTTGGTGCAGCACCTTACAGACTGAGCCATCTCCCCAGCCCCATCACTTCTTGACTGCTAGGCATAGAAGATAAAACTCAGAATTGGGGGTTGATAGATCAAGAGTGTGGGGGTAAAGTTCCAAGCTCAGCAAACAGACCTCTCCTTGCTTATCATTAACCCATAATAGTGAAACTCAGGCCAAGCCAAGGCAATGTCATTCCTCTGTCTTCATCCGAATCAGCTACATATTTGCATGAGAGATTCATAGCTTTATTTACAAAATGGGAAGGTCATGGCTTTGGAAACCTGGAACACTCTATCAAAACTGGATAATTGCCACTGAAGCTCTAGCTTGGGAATTACTAACCTCCTGGCAAAGAGGATGCTGTCCTCAAACATGAGGATGACATCTGGATCACATCTGCCACCTACCCCTGTGGAAAACCATCCCAGAAATGACCAAATCTAATCTATGCAGCCATTCATTAGCCCACAGAATTCTGGGAGGTCTGTGGGAGGCTCACATAAGCCAGCAGATGCAGCACCAAAGCAAGCTTCAGCCTTGGGTGAGCTGCCAACCCAAGTGGTGATCATCAGACATTGTAAATTGAATATATAACTCATCCTTTTTACCTAGGGAGCCACACTTAATGGGTGACCCATCAGATTGGACTGATGGTATTTACCACCTGGATGAAAAATGGGATGTACATACACATATAGACACCACATGAAGATGTTTACCAGGCTCTTGAAGACCAATGAGCCACAGACTAAAATGTCTGTAATAAAATTGGCATGGGGTCTTGTATATGTGCAGGTGCATGTATGTATGTGGGTACTTGTGTATAAAGTTAGTGTGGGGTCCTGTATGTGAGTACACATGTATGCATGTGGCAGACAAAAGACATCAGCTGTTGTTCCTCATTTGCTTCCTACCTTGATTTTTGAGACAGTGTCTCCCACTATCCTGAAACTTGCTGAGTAGATGAAGCGGGCTGGCCAGTGAACCCAGGGAGCCACCTGTCTACACCTCTACAGAAATGGGATTAAAAGCAAGTACCACCAAGTTTGTTGTATTTTGACATGAGTTCTGGGGACTGAATTTAGGTCCTTGAGCTTGCTAGGCAAACATTTTATCCACTGAGCTGTCTCCCCAACCCTGATGAGAGGTATTGGGGGAGTCTGGGTCTGGAGGGACTCAAAGGACAGGAAAAATGCGGGTGAGGTCATGGCTCCTAACTGCCTTCAGGAAAGTCACAAAGATCATTCACTCAGAGTCCAAGGCTTGCTAGGAGGTACTGATGCATGAGTTAGTGAATGAATGAATGAGTCAGCCAACCATGTGACCAGTAGAAACTGGGATGGGCCAACTTTTATGTATGTCCATAGCCCTGCCAGAGGCAAGGACATCCAAATTGTTTGACCCTGTTCAACCTTATTCTCTGGCAGAGGGTCCTTGGACACTCTGGGAGACAGGAGCCTGGTCTCACTCCTCTGTCCTCCATCCTCACAGAACTCTCAAGACTGCACAGGGCTTTCCAACTGGCATTTAGAGAGTCTGCACTTGGAACATATCTGTAGTCTGTCTACTGCGTCCACCCACAGACGTATCATTGCCACTCTGCCCAATGCAGTGGCCTGAACGGTCTAGACTAGGTGAGCATAATGTAGAAGCCTGACATCAGAGATCAAACAGATTATCTCAGGGACTGAGCACTGATGAGAGGCCATGTGACAGACAAAACTGGCAAGTTGTTTACAACCCAGCCACAAAAAAGAAAGACTCTATATTAGTCTGTACAGCAGACTAGACTAAGTCTGTTAGTATATACAATAGAATAGAATGACTTCATGTTAGTCTACATGGCAGAATAGAATGTCTGTAATCTACATGACAGAATAGAATGACTGTGTTAGTCTACATGGCAGAATAGAATGACTGTGTTAGTCTACATGACAGAATAGAATGTCTGTAGTCTACATGACAGAATAGAATGACTGTGTTAGTCTACATGACAGAATCTGGAAAAAAGGATCTTTGGGACCAGACTTCAGGACATACTCCCAGACCCACTGTGTATGGACAGCTTCAACTAAGCTGTATAAAGGCTTGTGAACTAGCTTCCATGAGTTCCCTGATTGGATCTGTGTTCCCAGCTGTTCCCAGAGAACACAAGGGAAAAGTTTTGCCCCCTGTTCTAATCCTAGGTGCTGATGTCACCACAGGTGAGCCCAGCTAGGACAGGGTTTCAGCTTCCTTCTGTAATGCTTCAGGTTTGGTTGTGGCATTCAAGGCTCTCTGGGAAACATAGGCAGCAAAGAACAATCCAGAGACCTTGGGCTCAAGGAGACTTAATGGAGGAAATTACTTTCCTTTATCAGGAGCATCTGGGGCCAGAGAACAGGAAAATCTCTGCCCCTTGTGGGGTGCTGGAGGGCAATCCTCCTCCCTGTCCATCCAGAATATCCAGCAACCCCGCTCCCCTCCTCTCCACACCCACTCACCTGTGTCTCCCTTGCTTCCCTTCACACCTGCAGCCCCTGGAATCCCGGGGATCCCTGGAGGTCCTACACAACAGACACCACATGGGTATAAGGATTGGGCTGGACAGACGTTGGAATACCTCTCCCAGTGCAGGGATAAAGGGCCTCACCTTGTGGCCCAGGAGGACCAGTGCGGCCTGGCTCACCCTTGGCACCTGAAGATCCTGCTGCACCAGAAAGACCTGGTGCACCCGGCGCTCCAGGTGGTCCTAGAAGGTAAATGGTGAAGGCGGGGCTAGGGGTGAGTGGCACAAGGGCTCCCTACCCTCTGTGCCATACATCTCCTAACACTATCCAGCCGCCCTATGGGTGAGAGAGAAGCAATGCCACAGACTTGGTCTCCTCCGTCACGGCTGTGGGATCTAAGATGGTAGACAGATTAGGAACTTCGGGGGTGGGGGGTGGGGGGAAGCACCTAGCTCTGCCCCTCAGCAGCCAAGGAGGTACACATGTGAAGAGGGTTATCATTAGAGTCTGTGCTCTACCTGCTGACCTCTTCCTTTTAGGAACAGTCAGGTTTCTAAGCCCCTGGAGTTCTCTGGGCTAACGCTACGATGAGATGGAACCTGGCATGGTGGTACACGCCTGTGATCCCAGCACTTGGGAGCCGGAGAATCAGAAGTTCAAATTATCCTTAGATAAGTAGTAAGTTTTAGGCTAGCCTGGGCTACATGAGACCCTGTTAGAAAGAAAATAAGGAAGCAAGGAAAGAGAGAGGAGGGAGGCAGGGAGGGAAGGAGGAAGGAAGGGAGGGAGAAAGATAGTGGGTAACTTTCCCTATTTGACTCTCTCTGGGGACCGCAGCCACTCTGCCCAGATGCCCACAGTGCCTACCTTGATCACCTTTGGCTCCAGGAGACCCAGCCAAACCTGCAATGGACAAGGACTCCTAAGGATGCTGTCACTCTAAGGGCTACAAGAGAGAAGGGCAAGACCTCCAGGTCTGCAGCACTTACAGTACAACCTCTTACCTGGTAGGCCTGGTTTCCCAGGGTCGCCTTTATTTCCCTGTATTCCAGGGAGACCCATGACCCCTGTGTCTCCCTTCATGCCCATGTCCCCTTTGCTTCCTGCAACAAACAAACAAAAAAGAAATTAAAGTTGGACATGGCATTTGCCATCTTACCCAAACTCCAAACTAATGCCCTGTGCCAGAGGTGGAACATCTGGTCACAGCCCTCCAGGAATGAGCCCCTTCCCCAGTGACAGGGCACGAACTCATGATAGATTGGCCAGATGACCTGACACCAGAGACAGTTGGGCTGCCGGGATCCCAGTCAGAACCCCCACCCCAGAGAGAAGGATCACAGTCTGGGGTTACCCAATACTTTGGGGGCTCATTTTACTCTCTCCATTTTGGGGGTTATCTTTCATAGCCTCTCAGACTGAAATTGGAATGTTCTAGAAAGCATCTTCCAGATGCTGAGAATAGCAAAGGTCATTGGGAAAGAGAAAAACAATGCAGTGATTTCTGTGCCCGCCTGCGGCGCAGACAAGGGCTTCTCTGGCACCCAAGATTTCAAATTTTCCACTCATCATCAGCATTCGGAACTCATCCAGCTAGTCCTCTCCTGAGTCCTCTGTCTCTCCCTCCTCCTTTCCCTTAGTATCTGGTGCATATCAATGGAGGGCAGCCACCTTCCTGAAAGGCAGGTCAGCCAGGTGGTGGGCTGTACAATGGACTTGCTCAGTGGTAGCCGCTCTGAGAGCCACTGAGGTCACGTGGTTGACTGGGTGTGGACACCCAGCTCTGTTCCTACTGGGACCAACATGGGGTGAAGGTCTTAAAGAGGACTGTCACCCCAAAGCAACCTTTTCTGCTCTCTACTAGACTGGCTGGCAGAAATTTTACTAAAAAAAAAAAATTAATAGCTCTATTCTCTAATATTGAAATGCACTGGTTTTGTGAAGTGTGTACCTGTGTATGCATGTTCAAGTGTGTGGGTGCACATGTATGTGTGGTGCTTGTGGACATGAGTTTGGAAGCCAGAGGACCTTGGGTATTGTTCCTCAGCTGTCATCTACCTTGATTTTTTTTTTTTTTTTTGGAGGTAGGTCTCTCACTGGCCTTGGAACTCAGCAGATAGGCTGGCCAGTTAGTCCCAGGGATCTGCCTGTCTCTGCTTCACCGGCACTGGGGTTATGAGCATACACAACTGTGCCTGGCATTCCCACATAGGTTCTGGGGATCAAGCTCACACCCTTGAACTTGCACAACAAGTATTTCACCAAGGGAGCCATCTCTCCAACTTTCTATGCTGTTATTTTGACAAGGACCTGGAGAGGACTCAGGGGCACACCAACTTCCTCCCAGTCAAGCCAGAATGGAGTCCTGATTAATTAGTGAGTGACTCTGAAGAGGATAGCTAGAGCAAGAACCAGCCTCCCTGGGTCTGAGTAAGACTAGTTCAAGGCTTGGGATGATTAGACGTAAAGAATGAATGTTTCCTGGGACCAGGGAGATGGTACCATGGGTGAAGTACCTGTTGTATAAGCCTGAGGTTCTGAGTTTGAATCATAGTACCCATATAAAAAGCTAGGCATGGCAGTAAATGCTTGTAATCCTAGAGTTTGGGGGGAGAAAGCCAGAGATCCCTGGGACTGGCTGGTCAGCCAGTGAGTGAGCTCCAGGTTCAGTGAAAGACCCTATCTCAGGAAGCAAACCATAATGAAAGTGTGTTCCATGAAAACATATATTTTCAATAAAAAACAAAACAAAAAAGACAAAAAGAAAAAAAGAAAAAAGGTGCAAAGTGATGGTGGAAGTCACTCAGTAGCAACACATGTACAAACATGTGCATACCCATAAACACAATACATCACACATACATTAAAAAAAAGAAGGCTGTTTCCTGATGGGACATCAAGTGCTAATTAAGTACTGAGTTCCATGTGCACAAAGACACCAGCAGGGAGCAGGAGACACTTGGGTGTCCTTGCCTTATGAGTCCAAACCGTTTCATGAAAAAAAAGCATCTTGAAGGCTATCACCACACAGAAATAAAAATGTATGGGTCACAGATAAGCCAACTATCTTGGGTCAATCAGCGTATAATATATGTATCACACTGTCACCCACAAACATGAATAATTATGAATCAATTGAAATCAATTAATTCCTTTTGGAAAGAACTGGAGTACAGTCGAGGCTTCTCTTAAACAGCCGGACAGGAAGTTCTTGAGCCCTGTTCTCAGCTAGAACAGGCTCCTCGCCCCCTCCAGCTTTCCCATGAGTGCCAACACCTCAACACGACTCTTACCTGGAAGGCCTAGGTCCCCTTTATCTCCCTTGGTGCCGTGTTCCCCCTTGGGGCCAGTGAGACCCTTGTCACCTTTGCTGCCCTTCTCTCCTTGAGGTCCTGGGGCACCTGTGACAAGAACAGGAATGAGGTAGGATCCGACTGTCCCACTGGGCGTGGGCTCCTGGAGACGGAACAGAGTGGGAAGGGAAGGGAAGGGATCTCTGGGGAAAACCGGGGGACACATTCATTAGCTCATCTCTTTGATGTTTGTGGCAAGCTCTTTGAAGACTTGAGACAGAAAGGAGGGCAGGGCAGGGCTGTAGAGAGAGCATGTGGGGACAGCTGCCCTATGGGAAATGTCAATGCATGGCTGGCCCCAGGAGACAAAGTCACATGGGTGCAGTGGCCCTATGGGAAATGGCAATGCATGGCTGGCCCCAGGAGAGGAAGTCACATGGGTGCAGTGGCCCTATGGGAAATGGCAATGCATGGCTGTCCCCAGGAGAGGAAGCCACATGGGTGCAGTTGCCCTATGGGAATTGGCAATGCATGGCTGGCCCCAGGAGAGGAAGCCCAAGTTACCAGTTGCTCCTTGCTTCCCTGGTGCACCCGGAAGTCCCTGGAGGCCTGTGAGATGGAAAGAAGGACTCAGTCACTGTGGTTTCTTCAGTTAGCTGACATCCTAGGGGCCCTGCAGTGGTACAGGCACCCCAGCATAAGCTCTGTATACTCTATACACAAATGCACAAGCAATCATATGTGGTAGAGTACCAGGCAGGTTCAGATGGAGGTGACTATTTTTCCAAAGGCTTGGGGTCAGTGCTTGGCCCCAGAAGGAAGGTTCTAGAAGATGGCAAGTGGGTTTGAATCACAGCTGTCTCTCCAAGCAAGGTAAATGACCTTAGAACAGACACCTCAGTATCCCTTGCCTCAACACTCTCATTTGGAAAATGGGGCTGGTGATGACTGGGCTCTCTGCAGGTGCCTCGCTAATGCTCCTGTGCCCAGGACAAAAATGGGAAATAACGTGCCTGCCGGGGACACTGAGGTATGTTATAGGTGAGCATGCAGGACACAGCCCCAAGCGCAGGCCATTCCTAGGCGGAGTGGACTGGGGCAGGATCGTGAGCACAAAGAGAAATGGAGAGACCCTGGAGGGTGGGTGAGGAAGGGAAGGGGGAAGTGGGGCTGCAGGGTAAGGTGTGGAGACAGCTCCCTGGGGTGCCTGAGCTCTAGCTTTCCCCGGGGTGCCAGCTGCTCTCGGCTCATGATCTCCATGCCACCATCACGTGTGCCAGCATCCCCTCCTGTTGGGTTTGTGGGTTCCAGGGAGCCTGAGAGGAGTGCAGAGAGCCAGTGAGACTGCCCAGCTTCCTCCTGCACTCTGCAGAGGAAGAGTGGACCTCCAGACTGCCTCGATGGATGGCCTGGGCCTGTCTTTCCAAGTGGCTTGGTTGGCTGCAGTCTCTGGGATCTGGGGAACCTACTCCATGCCCCTTTCTCTCTGGGTGAGAAGAGGGAGACTGGATCCCCTCTGAGTGGCCTGCCTGCTGTGTGAGTGTGAGGCTGTTTGTGCATAGAACCCGTGAGTATCTGCAGGTGCATACTCATGAGTACCAGTATACTGTGAATATGTGTGAGCACTAGAGTATGTGCAGAATCCTACATGTGTGCATGAGTGTGTGAGCACCTGACTGTGAAGAGGTATGTGTGTGTATACATGTGTGCTCATGCATGTGCATGAATATGTGAGCATGTAATTCCATGATTGTGTAGTGTGAGGATGCATGTATGCTGAAATGTGTGTCTATACATGCATGAGTGTGTGAATGTATGGTGTGAGTATTCATGTGTACATACACATGTGTTCACATATGTGCATGAATATGTGGCTCTGAGAGTGTGTGGTGTGAGTGTGAAGATGCATGCATGTGCAGGCCCCAGTGTTCACATGTGTGCATGAGAGAATGTATGGCTCTGTGTGTGTGTAGCATATGAGTGTGAAGACACAATGATGTGTGTAGACATGTGCTTACAAATGAATGTGTGTGAGTGTGTGAGAGCATGTGGTGGAGCAGTGTGTGTGGGGTGTGAGTGTCTGCCCATGGTCCTCACCACACCATAATCTTCTTTTCCAGTGTTGAAAGCCTCTTGGAAGAAGCCCTACCCAGACAGAGAGCAGTGGGTTCCCGGGACCCTGTTAACGCCTTCCCAATGGAGCAGTTCCTAGAAGTAGCTCTCTCTGCTCACCAGACCCTTCTGTGGCTGCTGGGGCTCTGGAGGGGGAAGCGTGCTGTTTACTTCTCCTTTGAGCTAAACCAGCTGGCTCTGCTCACCGCTGTTAAAAGGTCTTAGGATTCTGGATTATTCGCTGCAGCAGGCCCAGCCATGGGGTACTGGGAGAGTTCTGCAAAGGCTGACAGTCACCTCCCTGGGCTTTTGCCTTGTGGAGAGAGAGCTCTGAGTCTACTACTCTGACGGAGACATGGTCTCAGCCTCACCCTGAAAAACAGAAGCTAATCCATGGCCTAGCAGCAATCGCGGACTTTCAGCCGTTATCTGGAAACTGGTGTGGTGATGATTGCCTGTAAGCTCAGCACTCAGGAGGCTGAGGCAGGAGGATTGGGAGTTCAGTGACAGGCTGGGTCATTACTGGGCCCAAACAACAATGGGTTGGGATGACTGCTCACTCAGTAAGCAAGCCCAAGCCCAAGGCCTTGAGTCTGACTCCTCAAACCCACGTAAAACCAGCTGGAGTGGTGACGTGTACTTGTAGTCTCAATATAGAGGCAGGTGGATCCCTGGGGTTCACGGACTAGCTAACCTAATCTACTTAGTAAGTTACAGGCCACTGAGGGACCTTGTCTCAAAACAAGTCAAAAATAACAAAAAACAAGGTGGATTGCACCTGAGGCGAGCCGCCAAGGTCGACTCTGGCATCTACATGAACACATGTGTACCAGAACACAACACATGTGTGCACATGTGCAGAGAGACAGAGAAACAGAGAGACAAGAGAGAGAGGCAAAGACAGGGAGAGAAGAATGTGCTATAACAGCACCTTGCAGAAGCCTCAACTCCATCTTATGTATAAAGAAACCGAGGTGCATGGAGGTGAGGGAGGCAAGGTCGCAAAGGCAGGATCTGTGTGGATGTCTCGGCCCCTGCTGGACCACGGAGCTGCACTTTCCCCAGCAGGCTACAGCCTTGCAGTCCTCAGCAAAGAAGGTTCAACAGAGCTGCACACACACTACAGCCTGTCCAGGCTGAGGCACCATTGGACAGTACTCCTGTTTGTGACCCCTCCCACCTCTGAACCCACCCCATGTCTCATACAAGCCGTCTCCCCTTGTGCAGACCCATCCCATGGGGTTTAGAGTTTGTTGTGGGTCCCTGTCATTGAGAAAGCCCACGGTGACGTCTACTCACCTGCCTCTCCCTTGACGCCTGGTGGGCCCCGGGGTCCTTGGACACCTGGAGATGTTAGGGTTAAAACATGAAGTTAGGAACTCTGGGGAAGATAAATATGAGGGTTTGGCTGGGTACAAGACAAACAAGTTGAGCAGTTAACAGGGAGAATGGGATTCTGGGAAAACCAAAGCCACAGAGCTGGTCTCAGCAGGACCTGGATCGCCTCCCCTGAAGGTGATTCGAGAATCCTTCCTCGAAGTTCACACACAAGGTGCCAATGCCCTTTGCCCTAATGAACTTCTCAACTTCACGAGTGAGTACACCTCGAAACACATTTTCTACAGCTAACACAGCTAACTGCAGCAAACTCCACCTCCAGGGCTGGGAGGTGGCTTGGCAGTTAAGATGCTCTTGCAGAGGATCTGAGGCCAGTTCCTGGCACCCATGTTGGGCACAGAAGTCTGTATCCCCAGCTCCAGGGCATCTATCTGGCTCCTTCTAGTACAGCATTCACATGCGCATACCCCCCTACACACTCATACATACCACCAGAAAAACAAAACTTATCAAGCCAATAATAATAACAATAATAATAATAATAATAATAATAATAATAATAAAAACCTCTGTGCTGTGGGATGGTCTGTATGTCAAATTGCTCTGATTGGTCAATAAATAAAATACTGATTGGCCAGTGGCCAGGCAGGAAGTATAGCGGGACTAACAGAGGGGAGAAAAGAAAGAACAGGAAGGTGGAGGAGACACTGCCAGCCGCCACCATGACAAGCAGCATGTGAAGATGCTGGTAAGCCACGAGCCACATGGCAAGGTATAGATTTATAGAAATGAATTAATATAAGATATAAGAACAGTTAGCAAGAAGCCTGCCACGGCCATACAGTTTGTAAGCAATATAAGTCTCTGTGTTTATTTGGTTGGGTCTGAGCTGCTGTGGGACTGGTGGGTGAGAGAGATTTGTCCTGACCGTGGGCCAGGCAGGACCAGAAAACCTCTAGCTACACCTCTGTTTTTAAAAGCAATTCTTTACCCATCTCAGGAAAAGGAATGCCCCGGGGCACCCAGGGGGAAATGATAGACTGAGACACTAAGTCCAGACATAGGAGCGGCCAGTGGCTAGTGCCCATGGCTGGGACAGCTCTCTCCTCTTGAGGGTGTATTTCGTTTTCTCCCTTAAAAATTCCTTATGTGTCTGTGTGTTTGTCTGCGTGAGTGTACGCCACATGTAGGGTACATGTGGGGGCCAGGAGAGGGTGCTGGGTCCTCTGGAGCTGCGGCCACAGGCAGTTGTGAGCCGCTCGACCTGGGTGCTGGGAACCAAACCTGGGTCCTCTGCAAGAGCACCAGCTCTCTGACTGCTGCGCCTGCCCTCAGACCCCCTTTCTCCTCCCTGGCTTGGTAAAAATAAACGTTGGCCACTCACTCTACCAGTGTCCTGGTGTGATTTATTCTTCCTGCCATGACTGGGATGAGAGGGGACTCAGAGGGAGACATCTCTCCATTTGTGACAGAGGGAAGAAGGATTCAGAGTATAGCTTGGAGGAGAAGGGGAAGAACACAAGGCCGAAAAGCAGAGGCTGAACCTGGGGTTCCATCGTGGACCCACAACCCCCGTTGCTCCCTTCTGGGCAGGTGGCCCAGGCAGGCCAGGGATCTCAGGCACACCTGGGGCCCCTTTTGGACCTGGAGGATGAAGAGCAGGGATAACAACTAGTCGAGCAATAGTAGATGGCGATGTATTCACTCAGCCTCCCAGCAAATGGCCACTGAGCCTCAAGGGCAGACTAGCCCATGAAGGAAACAACAACAACAACAACAACAAAACCTGGGTGATACTGCTTTCCTCAAGAAGTATGTGGTCTGGGAGACAAGGAATAAATGAAAAACAATAGTGTAGATGATGTCTGAGGGAGGCTCAGCCTCAAAGACAAGGCTTCAAGTACCACTCAGGCCTGGCTGGGAGGCTGTGTCCCGAATCTCTGTCGGGAAGTCTGTGGCTTTGGGAAGAGATGCTTGCTGCTGGTAACAACTGCCTATACCTGAGGTAAAGCCAGGAATTCTGAGCCCCATGCCTCTCCCCTGCCCTCAGTAGCTGTCAAATGAGCCTTCTCGGTGGGGAGGTGGGGGTCTTGACCATGCAAGGCAAACCGTGAAGTAAGGGAGAGATGGTAGCCTGATGGATGGGACCTGACAAGCCCAGACTCCCACAGCTCTGGCTCCCAGCAGCACTGCTTAGCTCGTATAAGTGTGAGCTGAAGTTCAGAAATAAGCCACACCTATGGTGAATATTCCACAAGGCTGTTGACCAATTAGAACACACATGGTCGGGGAGAGGTGGAATGCTGCAAGTCCAGAGCCAAATTACCCTCAATTATCTTTAACCCCGTAAGAGCCATTTATTACCCATCTCTGTGTTTAGTTTAACAACCTGTGACTATTAGGTAAACGGCTTCTGGAATGGACTGGCAGACTCAAAGTTTCTATCAGCCCAAAGGCTAAGCATGTCATCAGATAGTGTCTGAGGCCTGAAGCAGGAGTTTTGAAGCTTTGCAGTAACCTACCCACCTACCTGATGTTCGCAGTTACATATTTTTTAAAGCACCTTGATTTATGATTTTCTTTTGCTCTGTTACTATCAAAATTTCAGGAAACTTATCACACTGGAGCATGGTATGTGAGGCTGTCCGAGTCCCCACTCACAGGCCACAGCCATTTATATTTGGTTTCAGAATAAACCATCTCTTTTTCCCTTTGGTGTGCGGGTCGAGTCAACCACACACAACGCTGTCGTCATCACAACCCTCTGGGAGAGCAGAGGCCAACACAAGTAAGTCAAAGGCACTTGATGGGAGCGCTTCTGGGAGACAAAGAAGGTTCTGGAAGCCTGGGACATTTGGGGAAGATGGGAGGAGGAGCTGGTGGACTGTCCCAGGAAGATGGCAAGGTTTGGATGTTGGAGAGAGGAGGCAATCATCGGGGACAAGGGGGAAGGAAGAGGTCCAGAGCTGGGGGTCCTCACTTCATGTGGTAGAGAGGTGGTCCCATGAAGGAGGCGGCACAGGGGCTGAGCAGATCACTGGAGGATGAGTTGAACATAGAAAATACATAGAGGGCTCCCAGCTAAGGCGCCATCCAGAGGGTGGCAATGTAGGTCAGACAGGAAACGAACATACCTGGGGAGCCTTGTTCACCTTTAATCCGGAACAGCTCTGTGAGTGAAAGAGAGAGGGTTGGCGGCTGAGCCAGGGTGTGGCGTGGAGCTTGGGTTTGCTCCTGCGCCCCACAGAGAGCTCACAGACTCTGCCTTGGACGGCTGGGCCCCCATGGGTCTTCCCACCTTGGAGGTTTGAACAACACCTGAATTTGTTTAGGAAAGTAAGCTTCCAGAGACCAGTAACTGGATCCCTGGAAGTCGAGGGAGTAGAGAAATATTCAGATTGCCCCAATTCAGTTTGCAGAGGTTCCCGTGGTTAGGGGAGAGCCTGTCTGTGTTGGTCAAAAGGGCTCTTTTGCAGGCTGGGCATGGAGCTTGGTTGGTCGAGTGCCCACCCAGCACGCATGGAAGCCCTGGGTTCCACCCCCAGCACACAGAAACGGGTGTGGTGGTACCTGGATTCCGAGTGAGGTTGAGAAGCAGTTGCTCTTGGCTGGTGCGGACCTCAATGAGCTGGGCCTGCAGCACTTGCAGCCCCAGTGCTCCTGGTACCGGGTGTGTTTTGGGATGTGCCAGCTGCATCGAGAAGAATGACCTGTCCTCAGGAGCCAGGGTTCCATTGTCTAAGTACATCTCCAGGATCTGGAGCCGCCTCTGCAGATTGAGAGCTGGGACCCCAACCCAATACGTCATTTAGGGGCCTCATTGAAGCCTGAGACATTGGGGCAGGTTCCTGGTATTCCGTGTCACACATACATGACTTCTGTAGGGCATGGGATTTCAAATACAAACTCTGTGTACTGTGGGGAAAAGGAGACAGGATGGACTCCCCACAGTAGTGGATCCCTGGGACCTTTTGGTCAGTCAGCCTAGCCATCTGGTGAACTCCAAGCCAGAAAGAGACCCTGACTCAAAATGGACAATGCCTGATGCATGATCTTCAAGCTTGTCCTCTGTCCTCCACACACATGTGCATACATGTGTATGTATACCTCCTACACATATGCACATGGAGAGGAAGTGAGGAACAGCCCAAAACTGTCATCTGGCTTCCATATGCGCACACACACACACACAGAGGCACACAGACATGCACACATTCACAAACACACCTTCACTCTTCCATTACCTTGGTGGATCTAACCACTGTACCCTAGCAGGAGGGCAAATGTACTCTCAAGATGCCTCCACTCAGCCTGAACTCTGCACCCAAGGAGCTTAGGTGGCCACTCTGTAAAGAACCACACAGGATCAGGACCAGGACCAGGAGCACCTCACCTTGAAGGAACAGCAGAGTGGTACCTGCTGTGAGCAGGGTCAGGTAGATGGCCATGACTGCCATGCAAATGGTCCCCCCATTTCTCTTCTTGGGTGCTGGATCTGGAATACAAGAATGAAGTGGTGGTTTCAGGGCTGCAGAGAAGGAGCCAGCCTGTGCCAGGTCACATGCAGGGCAGCGGGGACTTTCCTTGGAAAGTAGGAAAGGCATCGAAATCTTTCTCATTTCTTTCTTTCTTTCTTTCTTTCTTTCTTTCTTTCTTTCTTTCTTTCTTTCTTTCTTTCTTTCTTTCTTTCTTTCTTTCTTTCTCTCTCTCTCTCTCTCTCTCTCTCTCTCTCTCTCTCTCTCTCTTTCTTTCTTTTTTTTTGCCACAAGGCAAGAAGTTTTGCCACAAGGCAAGAAGTTCCTCAGCCGTGAGGTAGAGATGAGCAGGTCTCCAGGGCTTGCTGGCCAGCCAGCCTTGGTGCCGAGCGTCTGTGGAAGAACACCTGGGGTTGCCTGCTGGCCTCATGCTCACGTGCGGATAACCATATGGATAGATCTTGCTCAGTCTTGAACATCAGTGTGATGGCTGCTCTGTGCTGGAGTCACTAGTGCTTACACAGTGAGCCGCTGAAGCTACAGGTTTCATTTACACAGTCTGGGATGACGAAGAAGTTTATTCCTGTTTCCTAAACACTTGTGAGGCTCAGGGAACTGAGCGATTTACTAGGACATAAGATGCAGGTGTGCAGTTCATGGCTTTACTTCCCTGATCTTTGGTTTTGTGTGTGTGTGTGTGTGTGTGTGTGTGTGTGTGTGTGTGTGTGTGTGTGTGTCTGTCTGTCTGTCTGTCTGTCTGTCTATCTCTTTCTGTCTCTGTGTGTATGTGAGTGTGCATGTAAGCATATGTGCATATATGTGTGTGTTTATGTACATGAAACTATTGTGCATGTAAAACATGCTTGGAACAAGCAATTAAACAGAACAAGAAGCATGACAGGAGTCCATGACCTTGTCCTGCAAGTGTGAGGACTAGAGTTTGGATCCCCAGAACCCACATAAATGTTGGTTGGGTGTGGTTACCCCCATCTGTAATGTCAGTACTGGGGAGACAGTGACCAGCTGAATCAGAGTTCTCAGTTCTGTGAAAGACCCTGTCTCGGTTAATAAAATATAGAGCAATTGAGGAAGGTGTCAGTATTAACCTTTGGTGTCCACATACACTTCCCATGTGCAACCACATACATGTGAATATGCATACACACATGCACTCCCCCCCCCCCAAAAAAAAACCATGCCAAAAAGAATTCAGAGTTTCCATCTGGGCTAGAGACAGGCCTAGGGACTTGGTTTGTAGGTGTGTCCAACTCACTCTATACACAGTAGAGGGGCTGATGGAGTGCTCACGCTCACATTTACTTGTTCAACTCTTGGAAGGTGGAAGAAATACAAAGTAAATGTCTCTTCTGTGTGACTTTGGCTCCTGAGAAAGAACTTCCCTAGTTGAGAGACTAAAAAGAGCCTCTGGTGGACCCTCAGGGCCTTCTCTGAGGTAAAGGATGGAGACGGGGCAGAAATTTCAGGGAGACATTTCAGACTGTGACAGTATACTTTATGGGTTCAGTAAAGTGAGGGACCCTGTCTTTAAAAGGTGGTCAGTGCCTGAAGAACGACAATTCCAGAGGTTGATGTCTGATAGCTCTGTATCCATGAACACACACACACACACACACACACACACACATACACACACAAACACACGCACACATACACATGCGCGCGCACACATTCATGCACACAGGAACACACTGCACATGCAAACACACATGCAGATATGAGAAGTTCGAGGCAGAGGACATCTAAAAGCCAAAGAGAAGGGACTGAGAGCAGTTAGGAAGGACACATTGTCTGCAAAGACACACTGATCTGAGTGACAGCTGACTCTCTACGTGAAACCATGGAGATCAGACCTAAGTGGCACACTGTGTTCTCTGCGCTGAAAGGAAAGACTTGCGAACCTAGAATTCTCTTGTGAATGAAAATATCTTCAGGAATGAATGGGAAATACAGACAATCTCAGATGAAGGGAGACCAGGAGAATTTAAAGGAACTTCTCCAAACAGGAAATGAGAACAGAAGGCCTATGGCTTTAAAACAGAAAGAGAATAATAATGGAGTGGTTAGAAACAAGGACACACACAGAGAGACATACACACACATATACACAATCTTCGAGTTTCTAAAAATCTCACTTCATGGTTGAAACAAATACACTGTCTTCTTACATTGTGTGCAATGCATGGCAAGGAAATTCTTAAGATAATTGTATTTTTAAAGTGTAGAAAGGCATAAATGGAAATAAAATTTCTATACATGCCCTTAAGTGGGAAAAATACTAATCCCAACAGACAGTGGCATGTTCTGTAAGTATATTACAATGCCCAGAGAACCCCTAAATAAACTACTGTGGTTTAAACGTGCCATGTGCCCCATTGGCTCACGTGTGTGAACACCTGCTCTCAGGCTGGTGATGCTGTTCTGGAATACTGTAGATCCTTTAGGAGGTGGAGCCTGGCTGGAGGAAGTGAGTCACCGGGGGCGGGCCTTGAGACTTAACAGCCTTTCCCTACTTCCTATTGACTCTGCGCTTCCTGAGCATGGATGTAATGTGAACAGCCAGCCACTTCCGCTCCTGCAGCCATGTTTTTCCAGTTGTGGTGACTCTATCCCTCTGGAATTCTAAGCCAAAATAAACTTTCTCCCCTAAGTGGCTTTTGTCAGGGAATTTTATCACAGCAAGGAAGAAGTAGTCAAGACAAAAAGCACTCCAAGTGATACATTCAAATGGAATTTTAAAAAATATTCAAATAATTCATAGGAAAGAAAGAAAACCCAGAAAGTAAGAAAGGAAAACAGGTAAAGGACAAAACAGAAACTGTATAATAGGATGGTCTGTTGAAGCCCTAACATACGGATAACTGGTGTATCTGTAAACGGTCCAAGTCTGCCAATCTGAGCACACGCATTGGCAAGCTGAGTCACACAACATGACACAACCACATATTATCCAGAAGAAACCACATAGCAGAACTTAAAACTACAGGAAAAAAACCTGATATAGCTAAAAGGAGGAAGACACAACTGATAAATACAACTGGAGATTTTAATTTTAGTACTTTGCTCTCAACAACTGATAAAACCCAGCAATGACACAGAAGGATGGGACACCATCAATGAACACCTAATGAACATTTACAAAACACTCCATCCAATAACAGCCAAAGGCACATGCTTCTTCATCACACAGAGAACGTTTATTCACCAAGACTGATCACATCTCGGGTCAAAAACAGACCTCAATAAGATGTGAAGAAAAGGAGGCTGGGGGCTGGGAGAAGGCTTGGTTAGTAAAATGCTTGATGCACAAACATGAACCTCTGAATTCAGATCACGAGAACCCAGGTAAAAAGCCAGGTGCAGTGACAATTTTCCGTAATCCCAGCGCCGGGGAGACAGACGGAGGACTCCTCTTACCAGTCAATCTAGGTGAATCTATAAACTCCAAGTTCAGTGAGAGACTTCCAAACAACGGGGGCTGGAGAGTTGTTCTCAACCATCAAGAGCACTAGCTGCTCTTCCAGAGGACCTGCGTTCAGTTCCCAGCACCCACAGCGGGTGACTCACAGCCACCTCTGACTCCAGATAATCTGATGTTCTTTTCTGGATGCTGTGTGCACAGATGTGTGCATACATACACAGGAACACACACACACACACACACACACACACACACACACATAAAAATGAAATAAATATTTTTAATAATTAATTAATTAATTAATTAATAATATTAAGGCATCTCCACATGTCTAAAGCTAATTGTGAGCGACACAGTGTTTCTCCCTTGAGACTCGGAAGAAGTGGAAGTCCATTCCTGACCTCTTATTCAGTACAGTCATGGAGCCTTCCAATGCAATAAAGAACAACAAGGAACTGAGAGACACAGCTTGGAAAGGAACAAATATGTTCCTATTTGCAGAAGCAAGTGTCAATACAACAACCCCCTAATAATCTTGAAAAGAAATCCATAGAACTAATAAGTAATTCATCAAAACTGTAAGATACACAATCAACATATAAAATTCAATGATATTCCTATATCCTAATAAAAAGCAGTTGGTAACCAAAATTAAGCATAGTATTGGGCTGGAGAGATCATGGCTCAGCAGTTAAGAGGACTGGCTGCTCTTCCTGAGGGTCAGAGCTCAGAACCCAGCATCCCCATCAGAAGGCTCACAAGCACCTGGAACTCCTCTCCAGCGGATCAGGTGCCCTCTTTCAGCCTCCACAGGCACCTGCAAGCATGTAAACATGCACACACACATGCATAAATAAAACAAAATAATTTTTATCATTTTAGTTTAAAATCTTATTATTTTAATTTAAATTTTTTAAATTAAATTTAACTTAGAATGTAATTTAAAATAATAAAATTTAATTTTTTAATTTAAAAATTAACAACCCCCCCATGGTAATACTTTTGTTTAGGCCAAAGAAAATAAAATATTCAGATGTAAATCTAACAAAACAGATGAAGATTTGTATGCTGGAAATTACAAAATTCTACTTTGGAAAAATAAAATCAAGAAGTGAAGAGATATACTATGTTCATGGGTTAAACCTGTAATTATTCATACATTCATTTATAGGTGTAACACAATTTCTACCAATACTGCAGCAAGATTTTTATGTAGTAATAGACAAGCTAATGCTGAAGTGTATGTGGAAAGGTCAGGCTATAGAATAACTACAACAGTCTTGTGAAGATTGGAATATAAGAACAGCTCTATATGATGTAGTAATCAAGACAGGGTGGACTTGGGAGAGGGCTAGTCATAGAACACGAGAACCATTGTTGAACCTTCCTTGCATGCCGAGAATAAAGCCCACTTTGTGGTAGCACGTGACTCTCTTTGTCTATTGCTTGATATGTTTTGTGAATATTTTTCCAAAACTTTTGCGTCAAAGATCATGAAACACATGGGTTTTTAATTTGTGATCTATATGACCCTATTGACTGTGGGGGAACACACATATCAGCATCAGCAAGAGGTTTCTC